ACTGACCTCAGTGATACACTGACTTTTCCTCTGGAGCCACCATTAGTTTCACATCTGTGGTTTAAGATAAAATGCCTCCATAACTATCGGATGGACTGCTGAACAAATCCCTCCAGCCTCAGCTGTACATGTGGTTGGTGAGAGAAATGTTAGGCTGCTAGCATGCTCAACTGAACTCACTTAGTAAATATTACACTTGCTAGCATGTTAGTATGGTCACCATGTCAAAAATAAAGTTAATAAAGACAATATTACTAACGCTGTTTTTAGGCTCCTTTATTTCCTTCTTTTTTTGATTCAATTAACATTCCTTTTTCTTTATTTTATGACAATAATAAGGGATGACATGGCAAAAGAAAAGCAGGCAATGAAAAGACAGTGAGTCTAATTTTACACCCAAGAACAGAAAGAAATGCAAGATAGAGAAAACAAGAGGCCCAGAATGAAAAAAGGTGCTTTAAAATGCCTTGCAGAACGGCATAAACACTTAAACTGTAGTGGGAACAGGAAGTAGAAGGAGTAATGGACAGAGCAGCGGACCGAGAGACGAGTTAAAGAGTGTTATTCATAATTCAAGTTTCCACGCATGGAGTGAACAGTGGCAGGAGAAAAAGAGAAGTCTATTAAAAGATAAGGACGAGTCCATAATTTAAGGGGAAATGAGCTGTCCAGAGTTGGCAGTTCAAACATTATAAAAACAAAAAAGCATTGCAGTCACTGAGTGATGCTGACATGTAGAGAATACAAGCAGGTGGGACTGCATCGGGACGGAGCAGGGAGAATTGATTATGATCATATATCATTCTCCGTGTTGGAAAACACACTAAGGTATCACCCTGACTCCCTGTTGACAGCCTTGCTCGTCTCTGAATATGGAGGGACTTCTGTGATGGAATGTGTAATACTGTTAAACAACATGGCGTCGCGCTTTCCCATCTAATAACGTTCAGTCACAACACGATGAAAGCATCTCACAGGCCAACAACAAGCTTTTCAAACCTATTCACCAGGCGGGAGTCCTGACTTTGTCTTTTATTCATGTTGACAGGGCAGCTCAGTTGGACATCCTCTCAGTTGCTGCAATTGTTGCTTTAACATCGCGCTGCCTAAAACTGTCAACCACCATCAATCATTCACAGTACACGGCTTCCCATTCCGGATAATAGTTTTGTTTCGCCCAAAAAAAACAACTGCTGCCCCAAAAAATTTAAAAAATAAAGGCAAGAAGGGAAGAAGAGAAGCTTGTGTGAACGTTTCAGAGTGAGGGAGACACA